TGCGTGTTCAACCAGCAGCACGTGGTCCTTAACATTTACATTGAAAATTGAGACACGTGCCAGAACAACCAAGAACTGTCAATGCTCCACAATGCCTGCATGCATCCATCCCAATGGGAGCCACTGCCCTGACTGCAGCTTTGCTGCCATCGTCACCTTGTCATCAACCACTGCAGGATGCAAACATCCCGGGACCCAATTGACGTGATAGCCATACTTTTCAGGGGCCATATGCTGCTGCAACTGTCCCTCGGGGATGACATGGGCCCCAATGTCCGTGGCAGTCAAAACGTCACGCCTCAATGTGACATGGTCCCATATCTGCGACCATAGTCCATCATACGTGGCTTTCTGCCCTCTTACAGCTGTGTATGTGGCACCATCCTCACCAGAGAACAGTTTCCCGTCCACCACCTCCAACTCCATAGGGTTCCGAAGCGGCGGGAAAAAGCACCCAGCAGTATGAGGGGGACATGTCATTGCCTTCTTCTCCTCTTCCGACACCTCCCTGTTGAGATGCCTAAAGGAGAACCTGCCATTGATGTAATGCGTGTTCCAGACATTTCCCATGGCATCACGCATCTGCATCCTCACCCGGCCACATGTAATCGGGATCTCATATGGCACCAAACCCCACCTAGGATCCCTCCTTGCATCATTCTCGGGGCACACCGTTCTCGCTGCTGCATCGTTCCCACCAATCACCCATGACGTTCCGCAATCAAAACTGTCGTACAAAAAATCGTTAAAACTCAACTCGCGCTTCGCCTCCAGAACACGCCACATTTTCAATGCATGTTGCCCTTTCTCCCCAGTTCTTGCCGCATCGTTCAACCTTATAACTCTGTCAAACACGATTGACAAAGTCACGTTTCGCCATGCGCTTGTTTTTGGGACAGGAAATGGAACCCAAGTCCCAACCACTTTGAACGCGAAGCAGGGTACTCCTCCAACAATACCCAGTTGAACACGACCAGGCACCCAATTGATGTCATATGGGAACTGTTCTCCTGCTAATGTCTTGACCACATTTTCATCCTCAACAATACACCCTGCATGATTTTCCCTGTTCCTCATACCTCCCTCTCCTCTCTCTTCCCCAACCTTTTCCGTCTCACAAGTGCTCCCTCCTGCATCATTGTCTGATTCATCACCATCACCCATCATCTCTGCAGTATGTGCATATATTGTTGCCAACACATCTGCACAGTCAGTGGTGTTCATCTCAACCGAAATCCCTTCCTTGCTGCCATCTGCAAGACCCTTCACAATGTCCTCTGTCTCCATGGCGCAAGTCTCTCCAGCGTTGACAGTCGATGCAATCGCGGGTTCCATCTATTGCATGAGACACCACGTACATTTATGAGAACACGTAGCTCCGCCATGCCCCCCTCACCCCAGAGAGAGAGAGAGAGAGAGAGAGAGAGAGAGAGAGAGAGAGAAAGAGAGAGAGATTTTTTACAGTAGAGAGAGGTTGCTTACTGCGGGCCATAACTCCAACAAACATCACATTTTTGCGAAATACAGACGAAGTAGTGAACCTCTGACAGAGAAACATGCATAGATACAGCAACAGCACGAGGTTCACTACTGCGGGCCAGAATGACAACAAACAGCACCGGTTAACACTTACATGGCACGCAGTAGTGAACCTTCCGTAGTTGGGAAACTACAGCGTGCTACCACCGCGAGGTTCACTACTGCGGGCCATAACTCCAACAAACATCACTTGAGAGACCGAAATTGGCCGGCAGTAGTGAACTTCATGTTGTCGGACAGGCTGTGATGCATCGACAGAGGGCGGTTCACTACTGCGGGCCAGAACGACAACAAACAGCACCGGTTAACACTTACATGGCACGCAGTAGTGAACCTTCCCTAGTAGGGAAACTACAATGTGCTACCACCGCGAGGTTCACTACTGCGGGCATGAATCCAACAAACATCAATTGAGAGACCGAAATTAGCTGGCAGTAGTTAACCTCATGCTGTCGAACAAGCTGTGATGCATCGACAGAGGGCGGTTCACTACTGTCGGCCAGAACAACAACAAACAACACCGGTGAACATATACATGGCACGCAGTAGTGAACCTTCCGTAGTTGGGAAACTACAGTGTGCTACCACCGCGAGGTTCACTACTGCGGGCCATAACTCCAACAAACATGACATGAGAGATGAAAATTGGCCGGCAGTAGTGAACCTTGTGGTGTCGGACAGGCAGTGATGCAGCGACAGAGGGCGGTTCACTACTGCGGGCCAGAACGACAACTAACAGCACCGGTCAACACTTACATGGCACGCAGTAGTGAACCTTCCGTAGTTGGGAAACTACAGCGTGCTACCACCGCGAGGTTCACTACTGCAGGTCATAACTCCAACAAACATGACATGAGGGATGAAAATTGGCCGGCAGTAGTGAACCTTGTGGTGTCGGATAGGCAGTGGTGCAGCGACAGAGGGCGGTTCACTACTGCGGGCCAGAACGACAACAAACAGCACCGGTTAACACTTACATGACACGCAGTAGTGAACCTTCCGTAGTTGGGAAACTACAGCGTGCTACCACCGTGAGGTTCACTAGTGCAGGCCATAACTCCAACAAACATCACTTCAGAGACCGAAATTGGCCGCCAGTACTGAACTTCATGCTGTCGGACAGGCTGTGGTGCATCGACAGAGGGCGGTTTACTACTGCGGGCCAGAACGACAACAAACATCACCGGTTAACACTTACATGGCACGCAGTAGTGAACCTTCCACAGTTGGGAAACTACAGAGTGTACTCTCACGGAAGGTTCACTACTGCGGGCCATAACTCCAACAAACATCACTTCAGAGACCGAAATTGGCCGCCGGTAGTGAACTTCATGCTGTCAGACAGACCGTGATGCATCGACAGAGGGCGGTTCACTACTGCGGGTCAGGTTAACAACAAACAGGAACAGTTAACACTTACATGGCACGCAGTAGTGAACCTTCCGTAGCAGGGAAACTACAGTGTGCTGCCACCGCGAGGTTCACTACTGCGGCCATAACTCCAACAAACAGCACTTAAGAGACCTTAATTGGCCGGCAGTAGTGAACCTCATGCTGTCCGAGAGGCAGTGATGCAGCGACAACGACGGCTTACTACTGCGGGGCAGAACGACAACACAAAGCGCGAGAGGAATATGTACATGGCAAGCAGTAGTCAATCACAAGTATGTGAATGCAAAAGAGAGAGAGAGAGAGATCACGCGTCCCTGACCACCCGCGCTGCCACGATTTGACATCTAGTGTAGAGAGTTTTTAAGCGGTCGTGGATGTGTAGTCCTTTCCTGCAATGCTCACATTTCTGATTCCCTCCATGCTGGTCTGCGTTCGTAAAGACCGATGCCATAATCTCTTTGATGTATGATATGAGATGGGACAGACAGTCCGCAACCAGCCTCGCCATTTGTCGAGAATTCGCATTTGCAACAAACTTTTCGAATGTGTCCGTCGTCATTGACAGCACAACAGATTCTGCATCAGCAGAAGGTGCTCTGCTGGCAACGACACAAGGGAAGTTGTGACGAACCTGGTGACAGTTTAGTGATGCAACATCGGTGCATACGAGCAGGGGATGCGCCTGCGCAGTTCCACGATACTGGTCCCGATCCCTCTGGACGTCGTTTGCATTGTTGTGTCGAGTTCTTCACTCGTCTTCGACCTTTCACCTTCTGCACTTCCCATGACAACTTCATTTACACATGGCACCGTCAGTTCTCCACCGAACAACCTACCTCGAGTGTGTTGCAGGGCATCCATGACGTCCGCGCAACTGCTCAACAGAGACGCCATATTGCTAGGAAGGTCATCCTTAACAGACGTCACACCCTCGTCACAAAGACCGTATTCTTCCACGGTTTCCATACAGTGCCGAATACAGTCTTCTGTGAAGGCCAAGAGGTCAACGACACTGCGTCCCGAAGCAAATAGCGAACCTGTAGTGTACGCTTGGCTATCGTAGGACGCCCACCCCTCCTTCAGCACACACTTGTCAGGGATGGCACAAGACGCGACTTTCCGTTGTTGTGATTCCCCCTGAGTTCTCTCTGTGACATGGGCTGCGAACCGATTCAAGACCGCAGTGCGCGTGCGCCTTTCAATATCCAACCATGTCTGGAACTCATCAAACGTGGTGGTCTTTGTTTCAGCTATTGCCTTCAGTCTAGCAGACATGTACTCCCTCAGACGAGTTATGTCTAAACATTTAGGATCGTCCAGTAACAACCAGAACATAGTGAACATCCTGTGTTCCGCAGTTTCTGTCATTTCGCCGAGCAGTGACTTAACACGGCCTAGTTCATCCGAGAACTCTCTCACCAATTGTTTCTGCTTATCCACCTCCTCTCTTAGCTTGTCTGTATGTTCTCGCTGTTTGTCTACTATACGACCCTTGTTGGGTTCCATGTCAGTCGTCTTATCTTCTTTGGCCCCCGGTAGTAGAAAGTCATCCACCGTTGCATGACACTCTTCGCCCGACTTTCTCTTCTGTCCGATTTTGGTCACTCTTGACATCTGAAAACGGTTTTATATACAGAGAAATACGTGTGGAGAAAGAGAGAGAGAGAGAGAGAGAGAGAGAGAGAATAACAAAATAAAAGAGACGTCAGGAATAAACAAAGAAGAAAGAAAGAAGGCAAACGAAAACGTATGGAGCTCACTACTGCGGGCTAAAATCGCACTTATGTACACCGTTCTATGCATTTGTGGTCCGCAGTAGTGAACTCTCTCTCTCTCTCTCTCTCTCTCTCTCTCTCTCTCTCTCTCTCTCTCTCTCTCTCTCTCTCTCTCTCTCTCTGTGTAGACAAAACGCAACGTAGAAAGAAAATTTACAAACAAAGAGAGAAGAAGAAGAAGATGAAGAAGAAGAAGATGAAGAAGAAGAACAAGAGGAGAAAAAGGAAGAAGAAGAAGAACAACAACAACAACAAGAAGAAGACGAAGAGGAAGAAGAGGAAAATCGCCCCCCCCCCCCCAGAGGAGGAAGAACAATGAGAACTACGCATCGGGCCGCAACAACCTTCGTTTCCTACTAGGTCTGCTCAACTCAGAGAAGGGTCACGAATCCTTGACTCTGATTCGACCTTTTATGATTAATGCTAACTCATTAGTTAGGACACGAGAATTGCTCTACTACCTTTGCACAATGAGGAGTTGATCTGTGTATAGAACAGGCCTCTCTGCACGATCCGAGCAATTTTATTGGTTTTTCACTGGGTTGGACCGAAATTCATGTAACTGCTCTGGATTTCATCTCAGAGTTGGACCTGGGAACTGCTTCATCTGTACCTATGGATATACAGAATTGTGCCTTCAGGTTTGAACTCGACCCGATTCTCGCTTGATAGTTCGCACTCCTGAGATTCAGTTCCTCTCAGCTTGGCCTTGATAATTGCAACGGTCCACTTATTTGTTTGAACCTGAATTTCGGAAGTGCTCTGGTCATCTATCTCAGGGTTGGACCTGGACTGTTGTAGCTGCTTGGTCTTACCTCGAGAACGGATCTGAGAATTGTCACTTTCGTGCGTCTGTAATTCTGAGCTGCTTTACTGGCATATTAGGGTTGGACCTGTAACTGCTGAAGTCTGTACTTTTTCGATTGTCATTTTAGGAGGGTTGCTTTACTTAAGCATAGCAAGATCTGTACGTTTAAGACCAACTGTAACTGTAAAATCTTCATAGCTGAACTAAATCGAGTGCAACTGTTCATTTTGTAGCTGCTCTGGTCATTCATCTCAGGGTTGGACCTGGGCTGCTGTAACTGCTTTGGTCTTATCTCAGGGTTGGACCTGAGAACTGTCACTAATTCTGAGCTGCTTTACTGGCATATCAGGGTTGGACCTGTAACTGCTGAAGTCTGTACTTTTCGATTGTCATTTTAGGAAGGTTGCTTGAGTTTAGGAAGGTTGCTTTACTCAAGCATAGCAAGATCTGTACATTTAAGACTAGCTGAAACTGTAAAATCTTCATAGCTGAACTAAATCGAGTGCAACTGTTCATTTATCTGATCGGACTTGAATTTTTGTAGTTGCTCTGGTCATTCATCTCAGGGTTCGACCTTGGCTACTGTAACTGCTTTGGTCTTATCTCAGGGTTGGACCTGAGGACTGTCACTTTTGTACATCTGTAATTCTGAGCTGCTTTATTGTCATACCAGGGTTGGACCTGGAATTGCTGCAATTTGGTACTTTATTCGGCCGACATCTCAAGAGGGTAGCTTTATTTCAAGCAAGACAAGAATCTGTATACGCAAGACTAGCCATACCTGTAAATCTTCATAACTGGAACTAAAACTGGTGTAACTTAGACAACTTATAAATCA